TACGATTTTCAGACAGCCGTTTCAAAAGTTCGAATGGCTATGATGATTGCCGACTTGAAGAAGAAGATATAGAAAAGAATCCCAAGAGATTAAAGTTAACTTTTAACATATAATTTCCTCATGGATTAACCTATACATGACATCGAAATTATTTGTGCTCTATCACATCAAATGTGTCATCAAACATTTAGAAAGGTATTGGCAAGATTGAGTAATATAGGTAGATAACGCTCATCTAAAAATACACAGATTTTGTCTACAAAATAATTAGCTAATATAATTCTAATCGTTCCTGGAAAGTTAAGATCACACTGATTTTACTGTATAATAGTTCGAAATTATTATAAATAGACTTAAATTACAATAAAAAGGTCTTTCAGATTTGTACATGTCATTTGTTGAGTTTTTTTCTAATTGCAGCAACATATATTGTTCCTAACAAAAGATTTTTGCGTTTTGTTGGCAAAAATTTACATATTACAAAATTATGTTAAAAAATTATAATTGTTCAATATTACATTATTTAACATTTATTTCATAAAATCAAGTAGCCCTATTTTAGTGGTACACCCTCTATATAGACCAATTTAATAAACAATTCGTTTAAATATTCAAATGTTCTAACCTCCCTTAATTTATAATCGTGTAAGTTGGAGGATCCTAGTTTTTTAATAAAATGATTAGGCTTATGAAGTTCAATCCTGGTCCTTCGAGCCGGATAGGTGGAAAGTTTCATCCAGCCGATTCTTTCCAGTCCAATCTTTTTCACTGGTATTTAAATCCAACCATTTTTCCTCAAACGTTACTAGATTTTTGTGAAGATAATAAACATGTCATCTCGTGTTATTAAAAACCATTCCAGACCGCAAATTGATTTCATAAAAAATTTCATAATTTTTTAATGATGTTATTCTAGTCTGTAGCGAGTTTAAATATGTACACTAATATTTTTTTTACATATGCAGGAATCAATTCTCCTAGAGGCAGAAATTTGTTATTTTCCTTTTAGTACAAACTGTTCTACAATGTAAAGGGCTTGCTTAGGGCTTTCTGAAACTGCCATTTCTTTTGATAATAAAATAGTTCTGCAACAAAAACGATTCCACAAGAATTTTTTTCCACAACTTAACCCAATTCTCACAGTCCATAATCTACAAGTTTCAGAGGAAAGGGATTTTTACTAACAAATAATTTTGGTTACTATGATATTAAATTATGCCTGGTTTCGACTAGAAGAAAGGAAAGTGGTCAAAGGATTTCTTTTAACGGATTTTGTGAATTTGTACACCAAACTGTCTTGTCTTTAAATTATTGTTTTATAGAGTTTTAGTATGAATCTTACAACTATAAGTGGATGCTTTTTAATCACAGGAATTATCTTATTTTCTTATACTAATTCGATAGTACAAATAACCGTGCCAAACCGATAACATGCCTCCTTAGCGCTTGACAACTCCACTTACAGACAAAAACTTGCAGCGCTACAATACTGGTACTGTAAGGTTTACCATTCTATTTTTTTTAGCCATATTTGTGGCTTTGAATGGAAACTTATGACTGAATCGAGCCGGCTGATGAATAAGCAGTATGTTAAGAGAAAAGGTCTCGCTTCTCAGTAACTCCCAATTTTTGATCATTGATGATAACATTGTCGCAAGAGCGTTTACTATTGATATCTATATTAAGATCTTAATATTCCTGTTTTTGTACATAATCATGAAATATGTTTCTACAATTTGTCATTGAGAAGTCACTAAATATTTTCGAACATAAAGACACCTACAAGTTGTTGCATAGTCTCAATAGTTTTGCTTTACTTGAAGTGTACAAAAGCACTTCAAAGTAAGAATAAATGAAATGAATGATTGTATAATGTCATTGTACAAATTTGAAAGACATATATTTAAACATTTCTTTACTGTTACATCTCAAATAAAAATAATATTTAAATAAAAAAATATACTGTGTTCTAAGAAGTATCTAAAAAAGTGTTACACACAAATACATAAACAATAGTTTATGATATTAAAGAAGTAATATCAAACTTATTCAGTTCAGAATTGGACTGTCGGTTAGACTTTCAGTTCCTTTGTGGAATCATCTTAAGAGCTCCATTTTGGTCTGACGTCCTAAAAATGACTTCAAAAAGGAAGCAGAAACCTTGACGTAGTCAAATTCGACGTGATACATTCTAGAAATTCTCCAATCGGTTCTCAATCTATTTTTGCTACACTTAGCGACTTTTCCTTAGGCCTATAATTTATTTAGGAAGTATGTTTCTTTAGCAAATTCTTGACTAGTTTTCTTCTGTAGTAGTCTAATATGTGCAGCTTCTATTGACTCTAGGTAACAGTATTATTGCCGAATAATTTGGCTTTTAAAAATATTTTCTTAGTACCATTAGTTCCTCAGAAATTATCCACCGCTTTTCCATATTTATTGTTTTTTTTTGTTTTATTTGCTTACAAGTAGTAAAAATGATTTAAACAAAATTTATTGTCTATTGTTTGAAAGTCATTTAAGTGCGGCAACTTATAGTACGAGGTGATCTTCTCCAGATATCAGGAGTTATTTGACTTACTAATGATAAATGTCAGAATTTAATGAATATGTCTTTTCCACGTGAAATCAGTAGAATTAGAAATCAGCAACGATTTTACCAAGTCTTAATAATAATTAATTCTGTAAACGAAATACAAAGTTTCATGGATCAAGATGTATATGAGATTATAATCTGTCATGATGTACCTCTAAAGGCTCTTTTAGATTTTCCTATGGTTCTTCGAATTTTCGATTAATTTAGCAATCATACTTTATAACTTACATGGATGTCACCTTTTTATAGAAAATTAAAAGCTTATCTAGTGTAGAATTTTCTGATGATAAATATAGAATAACACAAAAGATCAGTTGGAGTGATATTTTAAAAAATGCAAGTGACCAATATAAATGCAAATAATATGCAAAAAGTGATAGAAAAGTGAGATATTTAGGTATGAAGAAAATGATAATCAAAATATAACAAAACAACAGCACCTGTATCAGTAGATGACCAGGACTTGTTCTGGAGCGGAAATGACGTTATATAGATGAAGGAACATCATGGTGATTAATCAAATATGGCGCCATACGTCCACCTGGTTGTCAACTATACGACAGTCTGACATAATTTGAAGGATGTTGCCGTATTGCATAGATCTCAGTGACGTTATTTTAGCTGCAGATCCGACTCTACTTAATTAACAACGCCTTTTAATAAATTATGTAAAATTTAGAGTGTAGCAAGTGTCAAAAGAAGGTACAAAGCCAGGGCAAATTATGAAGTGCATTATATTTCAGTGCAAACTGAGAAAGAACCTATTCATACAACAATTATTACAATTGAGTACAATATATAACGCAAAAGCAAAAAATGAAGATCAGAACGGTAGTGGAGAAAATCAACAATAAAAAATATTAAAACAAAAAAGTGGGATACACTTGGACAAGATTTTAAATAGTAGGAGAATGGAGAGAAATTGTTGAATAGTGAAGTAATCACTCCATAAAATATATTATGGACATTCTATTACATTATAGATAATACTGATGATAGAGAAGGTGTTGAAACATAGCTATCAACATGTATACAGCGATACTGACACTGTTCATTTCTCTTAGGGTTTATATTTATCTTTAAGATATCTTTTTTATATAAAATAGAGGTATGTGTACAATTAAATAAATATTTAATATTATAAATAAATTAAAATTTATTTTGTACAAAATATTATTTAAAAAATTATATAACAATATAATTCGAATAGTACCTACAACTATGTCATAAACAGTATTCCCTATTGTGTCAAATATTAGGTCGTTTATCTCTAAACCAGTTGCTACAAAAATTAACTAATAATGCCACTGATATACAAAAGATTTTGATCATTTTGAACCTGTGGACCAAAAGTTTTGGAATAGATTTTTATTGCATATAAAGACGGAATATTAAAGTATTTTCTAAGGAAACAAACACCATATTACGAGTACTTTTAATTAAATTGTAGTTTACAAGTTCTATCCATAATTGTGTCAGGTGAATCCCATAAAATCCACTATAGACCGTTATGAGTTGGTCTGTGTAAAGGGGGTTGCATAAGGATGGCAAGTTATTGCAGCGTTCAGAATGAATGCGAATTCACAGACGAAACAATTAACAAACTCAGTAGAAAACCACGCAATAACTCTGTCATAATAGAATAACAGAAATAGTAATACAGCTCTGAAATAAGGGAGTACCCAAAGAAACTACACACAAAACAAAAGAATAAATGAAGAAGAAAGAGACTTGCAGAAGAAGCAGCCAGTAGAAAAAAGTTTAAAAAGTTCATTAACCTCTCAAATACGAATATGTACAAATTATCATTGCCGTAAGTTTTATTAAAATTTAGGAAAAATAAAATATACTGATTAATAAAATAACGAATAAAAAGACTTTTCTTTTGTTGTTTTACTGATTTAATTGTTTTTGATTAATACTACAAAATTTTGTGTAAATACCAGGATAGTTTGACATTACTATAGCTTTCAATAGATGGCGCTAAGAGAGAACGATGACTTAAGTCATCTATTGTTTGACGTATGTCAAAATTTTAAGTGAAATCAATTATTTGATTGTTTAAGGAGGGTTTTTTCGCCATTATGTGACCTTTGATGAAACAATGGTCCATTTCTACATACCAAAGATACAGAAACAATCAGAGCAGTGGTGAACAAGTGGCGACGTCACTTCTAAGACGACCAGTAAGGCAATAATTGGTGTCAGTAGATATACAGCACCGGTTCTAAACCGGAAGTGGTCAAGTTCAAGCCTAAGTTTTTGGGGACGTCACCAGCCTCTCCCCTAAAACGACAGACAGCGTGTCATCGCCACAGACATGTACAGATAGTGTCATGTTGTCTGTAGCTGTGTTACGCTGTCTGTCGTTTTAGGGAAGAGACTGGTCACGTCAGAGACGCCTCCACCAAAAATTTAGACGACCTTGACCACTGCCGGTCTAGAATCGGTGCTGTATATCTACTGGCGTGTACTATACAGCTTTAATGGTCATTTCGACACCGATTTGGTCATTTATTTAATTTAAGACGTTCTTGCGTTTACTGTTGGAATTTTGTTCTGTGAATACACATAACTAGTCATAGATTTCTGCAAAAATTTATTTGAAAACTTTAAAATCGCGTCAAAACTTTTGTTCCACACGCTGTAAACACAACTGGTCTAAAAAAAATCACATTCATTTAATTAAAGTACATTATTTAAGTACAGTACTTCCTCCTATACAATTCCGAGGTTACCGCTACTGCGCCTCCTGGCAAGAACCTGACGAAGTTATCACCCGCCAGAGGTCCAATCACAAATAAATTTTCACAACCATTAACGCTATGTGTCAGCCTGTTGACGTCGGCTGGGTTCGTCTTGCAGTCCAAGGGAAGGTTCTTCTGTACTCCCAATTTGACGTATTCGGGTAGGAAAGAAAGGTCCGGTCTTGATCCGATGAGTATTACTGCGAAGGATACGCGCAATTTTGAGGGCACGCCGTCTTTTGAGGTTAAGATCACAGTTCTGGATGCAGCGTCGAAATCACTTAGGGTGTATTCGGGGTAGGCCGTGTAGTAGGAGTGTGTCGAGCCCCCGTCCAGCATCATTTGGTGAACCTAAAAAAGTTTGTGTTGTCTTAGTAAACATAAAAATGAAAATTCAAACAAATATAATATATTAACTTGAAAAGGTATAATTCTCTGAAAGGAGTTGGCTGTACACCAGATAGTTAAAAAATTCGAAGATCGAAGTAAAACACTTCTATTTTAATAGCTTAACTTGGTCTTAGAGTTGGCATCTAACATTTCTACAGTTCGGACGTAGAAAACTCTTTAGAGTAGGGACATATGTTCCCTGTAGGTAATCTAAGTCCATAGACATATTGCCAGATAATTTAATAATTTCAAGCATGGTTTAATCCATTTGAACCCAACTACGGTTTGGTTTTGAGATTATTTTGTAAGTTTTACAAAGTTCGCTGAAGATGGACTGATTAGTCCGAAACGTTTTGAACTTAATCCTGTTGGATTTTTAAATTTAATTTTAATTCAATATACCACATACAGCAGAAGTGTTTTACGTCGATGTTCGAATTTTTTTCAAAATATATATTAGACAGAAATGTCCCTTTGATTCACTGTCAATATACTTTAACTCTGTGATTCTTCTTATGTCAGATCTCTCGAAATTTTCTTGTATTCTTAGGCGATTATATTGAAGTTGAGGTAAGGTGACCACGACGTACCTGACCTCACGTTTGATAAATTGATGGGGACATATGAAGGTTCCAGCAAATCAAACCATGTTACCACTAAAGGAAAGAAAGATTTACTCGCACTCTCAGATTAAAGAAGCACAAAGATTGGCATCCATCTTTCGAAAGAAGTTTCGTCGAGTTGCAGAACATCAATGCCACCTACCAGCTCCCGGAAAAGCTTTGAAACTCCAAAATGCATCACATTACCTTTTCTATCTGGTAACAAAAGACACTGCCCATGACCAATCCATCTACCAAAATGTATGGGAAACATTACTTCAATTGAGGGAGCACGTGCTGGAATCCAATGTGCAAAAGTTAGCCATGCCAAAACTAGAATTGAATGGGAGGGTTGTTCGAAATATGGTGGAGTAAATTTTGAAAGACACCGACGCCCAGGTACTTGTCTGTTGCAATTCGCATGTGGAGGAAAACCGTCCCTTACCACTTTTATACAAATGAGTTCCAGCGTCCAGTTCCAGTACCGACAAGGTTCCAAGAGGAACCATCTGTTAAGGAGGGGCAATGTTACGCACAAGCCTCTGGTGCAGTAATGATTAACGATTCAAACGCGTTTGATAAAAATCCCGATGTTTTGACGTCACGAGGAACCTTTCAAACGTTCAAAGCAAGACTTCGAACGCCGTCTAGAGAATTCGACTGGATGTCGGAAGCTGCTCGAAAAGATAGGCAGAAATATATAAACAAAAACAATTTACAGTTTGTAGTTAGTCGATAAAATAAATCTGGGTGGTTGAGTAAATAAATACTATAAACTAATTGTGTTTTTTAGTGTTAAAAAACTGTAAATAAATTAAAATAAACATTACAGTACGAATAATAAAAGCATGAACCAACTTCAACAAACCGAGGAAGATGCTTCTATCGAAATTATCCTGCCATCGCGATGATGTCCAAATAGACAATTTTCATTGGCCAGAATTTAGAGGTTCGTGTACTACACTATACACGGGACTGTAATATAACGTTTAAGCGGATTTTCAGTATGAAACTCAATGATAACTACCTTCGCCGTTGAAACGGCTAGTCAAAAAAGAAGATAGAAGAAATTAAGTCAAAAAGGAGATAAAACTGTTTGAAAGATGACCAGAGGATAGACAAAGGTTGTAGGCTGGATTGGCTATCGGATTTGGAAACATTTTCTAACTGACTTTTATATAACCTGTGTAATTTTCTAAAAAAAATCCTACTATTCAATATTAACCCTTAACTATGCTCGTGGATCTACGTGAACCCCCACCTAAAGTGTAAAGTTGCGCAGTCGTCACATTTTTTTACCAATCGACAAATACGTCCATCTAATCTAATCTACGTAGGCATTAGTATTCACAAGCAGCAAAGTCGTACTTCTGATATATTAAGTGATATACGGAAAATAATCTTCAAAGACCCCACCAGCATGTCAGTGTAAGTAATAAACTTTTTTTTGCAGTTGTGGGTTGTGGAGGTGAGTTAAAGTGGGGTTTGACTAATAGTGGTAAGTGATCAGAGGTTATCGAGTCTTATCATCGAACATATCCAGCACAGGGTCTGTACAGAGGATATGATCAACAATGGACTCCCAATGTGACTTCAGTGGTGGTGATCCTTGAAATGGGCAGCTGGAGAAGAAGGTCTGCGAGTTGTCTCCTGCAATATTAGTGGAAGTGTCACCGAATTATTGGGCCAGGAAATACCCATGACCTTTTATAATGAAGAACCAATCCGAAAATCTCATTGTTCTTTCTGTCCTAGAAGTAAGGGTACGACAGTTTGTAGAAAATGGAAGAAGCATATTTGTCCATAGCATATATGCATATCCATATATCCATAGCAATGGAAGAAGCATATATGCCGGCCATACCAAGAATTCAACAAAATAACTTAGAGGTGCAACACGAAACGATAGAAATGGTAGAAGAATTCTGCTACTTAGGATCACTGGTAGACTACAAAAATAACACATCCAACGAGATAAAAAAAAAAATATGCGTGGCTAACCGCTGTTATTTCGGCCTGGGCCCCTTAACTAAGAGCGAGAAGTATGTCAATAGCAACAAAGTGCAAACTTTATAAAACAATAATACGCCCAGTGCTCACATAAGGATCGGAAACATGGACAATGACGACCCGAGATGAAGAGTTACTACGAGTCTTTGAAAGAAAAGTATTGAGGATCATATTTGGCGGAGTAAACGAACAGGGTCTGTGGAGAAGGCGATATAACTTTGAACTCTATAGACTTTTTGGTGATGCAGATATTGTGAAGACCATCAAGATAAACCGCCTAAGGTTGGTGGGCCACGTTATGCGGATGGATGAGAGTGATCCCACTAAAATAACTATGCTAAATAGCCGGTCGGAAGAAGAAGAAGGGGGCGACCTAAACTCAGATATCTGGACGATGTACAGGAAGATCTGAGGGAGATTGGAGTGAGGGCTGGAGAAGACAGACACTCGATAGGGAAGGATGGAAGAATGTTTTGAAGGAGGCCAAGGCTCACGAAGGGCTGTAGCGCCAACTGATGATATTTGTCCAGATCACACTGTCAATATAGTATATAGTATATTAGTATATTATATAAAGGAAAGTACTGTTGTTAATTTTATTTTTATTTTTACTGTTAAGAAAAATTGGGGTCTTCGAGGACCCCACCAGCAACTATGTGCAACATTATTTCACCAGCACAGTTAAGGGTTAAGTTCCGAAAACAAGCAAAATGTCGATAATTTCACAGCTAATTTCAAAGAAATTTTTTCACAATAATAAACATAGTGGTAGTTTCTGAATCGACCTTCATTTTATACCTATAAACTCGCAAGGTCGGTAAAAATCAATTTATGTAGTTATCAAATTCCTGTTTGTTTAATAATCCATAATCTACCGCCTGACAATCGTGTCATGAGTTTACCCGACAAATATTATTTTATTTATCCGCTACAGTAGGCAAAACAATCTGTTAGTATACAAAAAATGAACCAATTTATTAATGTGAAGATCAAAACAAACAGCGGGTTATTTTTGGAAATATTAATCACGAGAATAATAAAAAATTTACCTTGTGGTATTCAGGATATAGGTTTTCTTGTAGATGCCTGCTCAATTCTGGAGATTTTTGTCTAAAAACGTGTATCACAGGTACATTCCTTCCCCTTGCGGCGATAATAGCGTCCGCAGCACTCAGACCAGCTCCAATAACCAGCACGGGAGCCACATCTTCCTTCACGTTAGCCAAATAAGTGTCCAAATTCTTCTCCAAGCTCCGTAAGTCGTACAGAATCCATTCGGGGTCTTTCTTCACCTTAGAAACTTCTAACCTATTCGGCAAATCGCTGCCTCCGTTTGCTAAAACTAAATATTTACAGGCATACGTCAACTTTTCCCCGGTGTTGGAGTCCACAGCATTCACAATCCAGTTGGTTTCTTTATCACAGATCGCGGAATTATACGAAGGCACGGATTTTAAATCTAAACTAAACGAGTTCCTGAGAAACCTCTCGTTCAAGGACGTGGAGTAGAAACTATCACAATTATTGTAATCATTTGTATCACAGCAAAAACTAATGGAACGTCTTTTATCGTTCTTCCTGGGGATTATAATTGCGTCTTGATCCCTGGGGCGTTTACATCGAATCTTCCTCCGATTTTTTAGCATTAGACAGTCGATGGCATTGGAGATCCAACATCGATGCTCGTCCGTACAGTTTTCTTCACATTCCCTCTCTATACAAGCCTCCAAAGTTTCCTTCAGTTCTTTGCCTATTCTACTGGTCCAGTAGCCTTTCTTTCTAAGCTTTTTCTCGACAATATATGGTTGTTCGTGTTCGATTTGCTCCACGGAGTTGACAGAGACATAGTTGTGGAAATTTTCGGTGAGTCCCATTTGTTCGGTGTATTGCACGTAGTATTTGGCAACGTCGCAGGCGAAGGCTCGCTTTTCGCCGGAGTCTCCTGAGTGGAATGGTAGACCGGGGAGAGCCATCCAACTTCCTAGAGACAGGGTGAGGATTTGAGGATCCATGCTGTGCCAGGAACCGCCTGGAGGACCTTTGCCCAGAACGATGTGTTCAATCTAAAACATTATACAAAAATAATATTAAGAGTATATAAATAAACGTAGTTACTTAAAAATCAATATACTGTCCACAATATTATAAAAGACCATTATGTTATCGATTAATTATTTGAAATGTTGAAAAATTAACATTTTTTTGTAGACGCAAATTTTATAGTATGCAAAGATCATTTTCTTGCATCTAAGTTTTAAAATTTTCAAGGTTTCCGCTCTAAAATGTACCAATAAAAAATATCTTTCAGGTGACAGTGCAGAAAGGTTTATGAAGGCAAATGATCCGTTTGCCATTTGTCACACTTGCCATTGTTAAGCCAGGATAGTTCTGCTTCTCCTAGATGTTCTAAGAGAAGTGACAGCTGGTTTCCATGCAGTTGGAAGTCTAAATTTTTATTTCTACTCTGATTATACGTTTTGTCCTATTTTCACTCTAAAAACTTCCAAAATCTTCCTAATCTTAAATCGTGTAATTCTTGGTCCAATCTCCTTTGATATAAGAGCACATACAGCAAGAAATTTAATAAATGATATGCTTTACTGATTTGCCGGTATAGGACTTTGAATGATAAGAAAAATCCTGTTTTTTTTTTGCGCCCACACCAATTTGCGCCCACACCATTTTTCGCCCACACCACTTTGCGCCCACACCATTTTGCGCCCACACAATTTTTCGCCCACACAATTTTTCGCCCACACCATTTTTCGCCCACACCATTTTTCGCCCACACCATTTTTCGCCCACACCAGTTTTCGCCCACACCATTTTTTGAGCCCACACCATTTTTCGCCCACACACCATTTTTCGCCCCACACCATTTTGCGCCCACACCATTTTGCGCCCACACCACTTTGCGCCCACACCATTTTGCGCCCACACCATTTGCGCCCACACCATTTTGCGCCCACACAACATTTTGCGCCCACACAGTTTTGCGCCCACACCATTTTGCGCCCACACCATTTTTCGCGCCCACACCATTTTGCGCCCACACCCTTTTGCGCCCACACCAGTTTTGTTCGCCCACACCATTTTTCGCCCACATACCATTTTGCGCCCACACCATTTTTCGCCCACACCTATTTTGCGCCCACACCATTTTACGCCCCACACCATTTTTCGCCCACACCATTTTGCGCCCACACCATTTTTCGCCCACACCATTTTGCGCCCACACCACTTTGCGCCCACACCATTTTGCGCCCACACCATTTTTTGCGCCCACACCATTTTTCGCCCACACCATTTTTCGCCCACACCAGTTTTTGCCCACATTCTTTTGAGCCCACACCATTTTTCGCCCACACCATTTTGCTCCCAAACCTGTTTTCGCCCACACCATTGTGCGCCCACACCATTTTGCGCCCACACCATTTTTTGCCCACACCGTTTTGCGAACACATCATTTTGCGCCCACACAATTTTGCGTCCACACAACTTTGCGTCCACACCATTTTGCGCCCACATCATTTTGCGATCACACAATTTTGCGTCCACACAACTTTGCGTCCACACCATTTTGCGCCCACATCATTTCGCGCCGCACTTGGCTTGGGGCGCTTTCGGCAAACTAGCACATTATCTTGAAAAACACCCCCATTCCTATAAACTTAAAGAAAAAGGTATATAACACATGCATACTACCAGTTTGTACCTACGGCTTGGAGACAGTAGAACTTACCAAAAAATCTGCCAAAAAATTAGAAACAACGCAAAGAGCAATGGAACGAATCATGCTTGGAATATCACTAAGAGACAAGATTAGAAACACCGAGATAAGACGTAGAACGAAGATTAGGGATATTGTGGAAGAAATTACAAAAATGAAATGTCGCTGGGCAGGTCACGTAGCCCGATATAATGAAAACAGGTGGACACGGAGAATTCTAGAATGGAGACCAAGAACGACAACAAGAAGCATGGGAAGACCTCAAAAAAGATGGGTAGATGACATAAGAGCAGTGGCAGGCAAACAGTGGATTAGATTGGCGCAAGATATAGAAAGATTGAAGCAATTGGGAGAGACCTACATTCAGGAGTGGATGGAAAATGGTTGACAAAGAAGAGAAGAAGAAGTATTAAACAAATGGTGTTTTATAAAGTTAAATATTGACTCAAAGGGTACTTTGTGAATTGTCTGGTTGTAGCATAACATAAAGATGATATATTTACATCTATTGGTAAACTTACTTCAAAAATAAAAATTTTCGAGTTATCTATTTTTTTGAGGTGACGTATAATGTAAAAGTGGATTCAGTTAAATTGGCTGAAACTTTGCCAGAGACTTCGCTTCGGTCATGCTGATCAAAAGTTCTCAGTGTCATAAGACTTACAAATCAATTGATTTTGAGTTAAAGAGCTTCAAAGTTTTTAGTTCAAATGTTAGAATAAGTGAACATCAATTTTATATTAAAAATAGAGAATTTGATAGATCTCAAATATGTAAACACGCATGGGATAATGAACATAGGGGATCAATGGAATAATTCAAATGTAGTCCTAAAAGAAACGGATGGTAAAAAAAAAATCAAAGAAGCGGCTTTCATTATGCTAAATGAGGCCAATTGTGTCGCAAATTCCTCGGTAGAATGTAGTAGGATCTGGTTACCAATATTGAAAGAGGAAGTTATTAAAAAGAAAATACCAGTATTAGTAAGTCAGTAACATATAGAGGATACATCATGTATGTTGTACATATTCCTTATGTATAATGTATCCGTTACCATGTCGGGATAGTATTATGAGGTTTTTTTCCTGGTTTTTTCCCTCATAATTTACTATGGAATCACTAACAGAAGAATTTTACTGTCATCATGTCATGTGTTTGTCTTTTTAAAGACGAATTACATGCTATGATTTTTTTCTGACGAATATTCTCAAGTTAAAGTTGATTTCATGTAATCGAATGAACTATCTTATAAGTAAAGTCGTCCCAGGAGCGAAACTCAACAATATTGGCAATATCATTTTAAAGTCATCTACTTTAAAATGCATAATGAATGTCTGAATTGTCAATATAAAAGAGTCAGATAAAATTAAATTATTAGAAGAATTTTTCACTATGTAACAAAAAACAAAATTTGTTTAATTTACTGTTTGTATTTTGAGAACGATTTCCGAATTGGAAATTGAAACGTCAATAAACGTATTTTTATCTTTAATTGTGGCTTATTTCCAGTTATAAATAGTAATTAATTTACAATGCCACAAGAAAATAGCTTCAGAACAATATTAAGAAACCGTTATGGGCCCAGCATTATTCAAAATTTTAGGAGATTGGAAATTCTATACAAGAAACTGGCACACTGTCAAAATTCAATTAAATTTTTAAGAAAAATCCTATCCCGTGAAAGTACAAAATCTTAACACTATTGTTATCGATGTGCAAAAATGTTTGATTCCACTTTAAAAAATTTAAATGTCTAGGGGACTTTATCTACAACAGAATACGTCCATAATTATTATACCTTATCGGTTACTGTGTACTTCATTACATTATCAAAAATGTTTTAAATAAGTCCACTAGTTACCAGTTCCATGCTATTTATAAGTATTTGAAACGTGAATACATGATAAATGAATATTATTCAATGGATGATATGCAACTATATCTACCTATTATTATTTTTAAAAATCGTCTTTTCTTTTTTTATTAGCACGCACGTATTTTATTTTTTGTTTTATTGATTTTACTCCTCTCTTGTAATATTGTTTATAGGTAATTGCCCACTAGAGTGAATTAATACCGAAACTTGTTAAACTCTGCCTTTCGTTTCGCTTAGTCTTTCTTTCAACTCGCTCTTCATAGATTCATCTTATTGACATGCGTGTTGTCTGACATATTTTGCAGGTCAGCCTGCTTAAGGTCGAGCTTTTAAAACAATGAGAAAGCCCTAGTTGACAAAATGCCTGAGCCTATTAAATATGTATGAGTAACAGAACGTATGCCAAGAAAGTGGAATGAAGGGATCATCGTTCCCATCCATAAAAGGTGGGATAGTTCTGGGAGTATCTCTGTGCTGAGTAGTTCGTATAGCTTTTACAAAAGTACTCACTAAAAGGTAGACACCTCTACACTATTTCGTATTTATCAATTCCCTATTCCCAAAACCTAGCTTATGTAGATGATATAAAGAAACTTGCAAGATCATACCACATTTAGAAGACTCTTAAACAGCTCTGAAATGTCACGCTAAGAAAGCAGGCTAACAGCAGCTATTCCAGTCAACTGCAATTCTTCAATTCCTGTTGTCAGTAGGATCTTGTTCCTAAGCGTGATGCATCTACTAAGGATGAAGAAGCACTTAGAAGGTAGGAGGGAAAAATCTTCAGAAAAATGTATGGATCAGTTAAAGACGGTGAAGTTTACAGGTTAAAGAGGCTGTTTGGGAACCCAGACTTGGTATCTGAAATAAAAAAAGGCGGATAAGGTGGACTGGTCAGATACACAGAGCGGTGGAGGATAGAACTACTGAGAAAGTGTTTTTGAGTGGGCGGGAGACAAAAAGAGTAAAGGAAGACCCTGAAAGAGTAAAGGAAGAGGATGAACCAACAACAAGGAAAATATAGATGTCTTGAGCTAGGTCGAGGCCCTTATTCAAGGTCTGTAGCTCTATGTGATAAGATACGTGGGAGAAGATTCGCATCTTCTCTTTGATGATGAAAAAGATGAGATGAGAAAAGCTTTTTCCATTGTCCATATATCTCTCCATTTTTGCAATATTTAAGTTAAAATAGTTTCTAGATGTGACATTTTTATTACTTAAGATAAAGCTTAGAATTTTAAACATTAGTACGTTTTTACATTTGAATAATAGGCGACATATATTATTCTTTAGACATAACATTTGTCAATTTACAATATCTCTATTGAATGGAGATTGTGTTGAATACAATAGTTCTAGGTTAAGGATTTGAACTATGAATTTTTTAACTAGTAGTTTTTCTAATGCAATGTTTAAGTTTCTAGATGTAGTACTTTGATAACTAATAACTTGAATTTAGAATAATACATAAAATGCAATTTGATTAGGCTACAAATCTTGGGTATTGTGTACCAAATTATTCTATTGTCGATATGTGCTGATGTTTACAAAGAGAATATTTTGGTTTGCGCTTTTCATTATAAGTGTTTTGATAATTTTTTTTTTCGCAAAATTAATATACGGAATAGAGAGGAAAAATAATGCATATCAACAACTACAACAACGACAAAGAACACGAAAGGCAGAGGAGGAATATAGGATGCTAAGGAGGGAAGAGAAGAAAATACATCCCAGAAAGAAAAGAGAACACATAGATAAAGAACTCCAAGAAATGGAAGAACTAAATAAACCATCAGAAACCAGAAAATTCTACCAAAAACTTATCAAAAGTAGAAAAGAATTTAAACCAAGAACAATGATGTGCAGAGACAAAGAAGGGGATATAGTAACTCAACAGAGCGAAATACTACAAAGATGGTCAGAATTCTTCAAAAAAAAGTTTGAAAAAAAAAAACGAATTCTTCAAAGAAAAGTCTGAAAAAAAAACGAAGATCCACTATATGATGGAATTATACTGGATCAAACGGATACCAGAGAAACAACCCCACCTTCAGTAGCTGAAATGAAAGAAGCAGTTACCAGACTGAAAAATCACAAGTCACCTGGATTAAACAACATTAGCGCAGAATTAATAAAGGAAGGCGGAGAGTCCCTATTGAATGAGGTACACGAACTAATAGTGAACATATGGAATAATAAACAAATGCCACAAGACTGGAATACCGAATTAGATCTTCGTCTTGAGGCAAATCTTGACTCAAGACTCGTGAATTTAATATAAGTAGACAAACATCATCTTTTCATTGATTTTGAGAGTGATATGATAGCAATGAATAAGCAGAAATGCTTATAAAGAGGAAGAAGAAGAAGATATTGAATTCAGTAGGAAATTAGAAAAGTTAATGTTTTTAGGTTTTCTTTGTTTAGTTTTCTTTGTTTACCTTTGTAAACAAAGAAAACCAAACTACCGAAATAAGCAGACGAGTAAGAATGGGATGGGCCGCATTTGGAAAACTCTCATACATACTGAAAGACAAAAAAATACCCCAAAACTTTCGAACCAAAGTGTTCGATTCTTGTATCCTTCCCGTTCTCACTTACGGAGCTCAAACCTGGACATTCACAAAAAAGAACATGGACAAGATTCGAAAAACTCAGCGAGCCATGGAACGACAGATGCTTGGTATCTCACTAATAGATCGGCAAACGAACGAATCAATCCGGAACAAAACAAAAATGAAGGACGCCGCGAAACAAGCAGCTAAATTAAAATGGAAATGGGCTGGACACAACGAACGTCTCGAAGATGGTAGATGGAACAAAGAAGTCGGAAACTGGCGACCGTACGATGCGAAGAGACCAAGAGGAAGACCTCAAATGCGCTGGAGCGACGATATCAAAAGAGTCGCAGGACCAATGTGGAAACGCCTAGCACACAACAGGGATGAATGGCGAGAAATGGGAGAGGCCTTTATTCGACAATTCGGATAGAAAAAGGGATATAAAAAAATGTTTTTAGGATTCTTTTTTTTCAGGCATGCGTATTTCGAATGTGCAGGAAGTTTAGAAACATCTCTAATAAACGCCATTACATGTTTTATGCACTGGATTTTACTTCTTGTGTCCAAGCATTTGATGAACACCTCTGTGGACGTCTCTATTAATTTTATTAAGATTTCGTCGATTGTGAATCTGTTGCTCTGTTGCGAGTTAAATATTTTAGTAACATTTTTTTGTATATAGTAATCATTAAATTTGTTCTCCATACTTCGCATTCCCTTGATGTTTGCGTTGTACATTTATTCTTAACTTACCTTTTTTCCCGCCCTCTTAAACTCCAGAAGAGGTTCCAGGTCCCAACCCATGTCAGCGTACGGATGAAGTAAAGAATCTACCAAAAGCGAGACCTGGTTGGTGGATCGTCCCTCGATACCTTGAGCAAGGAATTCTAAGTCCTGTTGAAGGAGGCACTCGCCTACCGAGGAACTTAATCTGGCCGATAACATTTCGTCTGGATGGTCGTCTGATGTGATATAAGGTATGTTTCCTGATAATATGAAGGATAGGACAATGCCACTTGGTCCATTTCCTGAAAAAAATATGAAAGTTGGTAATTTTTAGGGTAACATTTTCTATTGTTAAATAACAAGTGCAGAAAAAAATTAAAATAAAGATATAATGGTCAGAACATTCATCAGCCAATCACCAAACAATCGTACCACAACTGTTTCATCATAAGGTGATGACACTGATCATATTCACTGATTATTAGGTATACCAGAGCCAAATAAATGGCTCATCTGTTGTTAGCGGAGAGCTGGAAGACCGATGTCAAACGGACAGTTTCCAGAGAAGCAAAAAAGGAAGATGCAAATCATAACTAAACACAAGACTAAGCAACTACTGTTACGCTAGAGATATGGGACGGAAAGTATTAAGAGGATCTATGAAATTAAACGTTTGTAAGACGGAAGAGTCAAAGATTGGTAGAAGAACCAAGAAACAACTTGTAAAGACGTATAGGAAGATTCCAGAAGAATAAAGTAATTGAAAATATGGACTAGAATAATCACAGAATAGAGAAAAAGAAGAAAAATACAGGCTTATCATTATAGAGGTTAAATACAGAGCATAACTTGGGATAATACACTGCACCAATCGCATAAATTACAAGAATCTAAATTTTTTATCAAATCATTTTATCAGACTAGATAATAGATGGCTTCAAGTAATATATTATCATTACGTGTAAGTATTAAATCCTTATTTTTTAAGCTATTTGTAATCTTCGATGAGTAAGATCAATGTCAATTGTTCAAAGTCATGATGACATGATATGATACCAACTAATAGCTGTGGTTTTGTTAATAGTTTCAAAATAAACAGACTTTCCTTGTGGTTCCACGTGTAACCAAATAATTTGTTTCTTAATTAAAAAAAAATTTCTTGGTAACTCCAGCCACAATTTATGCTTTTCCGTTTTAATGAGTCATTAAACATTCTATCGTTTTTAAAATCATCCATTATTGATGAATGTCCACAAGTTTCATATATTTATTATTATTTGGAAGCAATTTGTGGCTACCAAATAAATAATAATATCTTTCAGAATTTTTCTTCTTTAATCACTGATAGTACACAGGAACTTTACAAAGGTATCGTTGCTCAGAATAGGGAACTTCAATGGGGTGGGTAAGGATATTACCGATAGACAAGTAATAAATAACAGGTAACAGTTTGACGAAAGGAAAACTAGAAATACTGAATATAGCTAAACTGCAAGATTTAGGGTTACAATAAGTCTTACCCTGAGACTGATAAAGGACTCAAAGTTGTCAGAAAACATATATAAGAATTGCATAAATAAAACTACTAAAATTGACATGTTTTCCTATATGCTGCAAACAAATTTTTTATCTACAATGAAATAGTAAAGTAATAAACTTATTGCTAAACAGACTGCAGTATTTAAAAAAATCGAAATAAACGATTATTATTTAAATCGCAAATGAATTACTACTTAAAATTTCAAAAAAAAAAAGATAATAAAATATGGTTAGACTGCAATATTTTGAAACCCGAAAAAGCTTTTTAATTAATACTTAATACTAATAATATTCGACACAAATTACACCTGTAATAATAAAAAGTACGAAGGTTTTCAGGAAAATTCAATTCAATTATATATCTTTCATTAAATTGTATCAATATATATATTGTTAATAAATTTTTTTTATCGCAATAAATTCTCCAAATTTAAGATCAATGATCCAAGACGTTCACTTAATCTACCGTATGTGTGTCGTGGCAAAAAAATTAGTCGAGACCCTTCAAATATCGGTAGAAATCTGATCTTATCTATCTGAAGGATAAAAAATCTTTCTGTATTTTATGTTCAAATGAATGAAGGCTAAATTAAGATAACTCAATGCAGAACACGAGTTTTCTCACTAAACAACTGAATAAACTATTAAATCGACATCAGCGGCCATTGCTACGACAAACTGAGGAATGAGAGCAAAATTTGGGCGTTTGGGTATTTTATAAGCGTTGGCCAGACTCAAATTAAAATCTGAGTGGTAATATAGACGCTTTTATTAGGTACTAGAGAGAAGGAATATACAGCTGTGTTCATAGTACGCATAATCACACCCAGACAAAACTAATGGCAGGGGAACTTAAGAACGATATTCTTAAAAGACTACAAAATTGAACAGCTACAAAGTTCCATTTCCATTACGCAGGTTAGCAATTACCACAGGGAGTTATTACAGCGATTATCACATAAAGAGTCCTTCTTACTGAAGCCATACCATTGTCTTAGATTCTTCAGTCATCTTCTTATGAAACAACTTCCATTCTTAAGAGTGCCGCAAGATGCTACATTTTTCTGCACGCAATATATATCCGAGATGTTTCAATTTTCTTTCTTTTATTGACCTTTCAACGTTGTTTACCTTGAACGAAGTTCATATAAACAAACAGGAAGTGCAAAAAACACTTGAACAACTAAAGAACAGAAAAGCTGCAGGTAAAAATGAGAGCCAAATGAATTGCTGAAATATGGCTTAGCGGCAATGACAGATCAATTCATTGATCATTGATTCATCACTTCCATTGACCGAGTTGGGGCATAGAGGAAACTGACTGACTTCATTTGCGGCAAAATGCAAAAATTGCTTACGAAAGCTGCTCTTTTCACCCTTAAAACGCATTTTGATTTTTGTCGATATGACACTCTGATCAAAAGATTTTATCGTAGAGTTAATACAAGTTTTATTTAAAGTTGATTTCGCGTTCGTAACTGAAATTAAAAAACACCGGTTGCTTCAAGAGTTGTTTGTGAGAGAACGGTTCATTCTACACAAAAAGTGCTAATAAATATATAGATCTTAAAACAGTATTACAGCAATCGTATAAATTGTTACTTCCCTGGTCTAAAGCGTGTATTGACTATTCAACATCCATACATCTTTGTTTATTAAGAAAAAGACGGCTTCTCTCGCCGTCATTGCAATCCATAATCCAAACTATGTTTCGCTAATATCCTGTTCAATTTGAGTGCATGGCTCATTAAACTGATTGTTATATGATCTTGACATTTTTTGCATTTGGTTGTTGGTTAAATCCAATCAAATTAGGTATTAGTCATTCCTAGGTTGATATCATTTATTTACGACAGCATTTAACCTACCACTACTATTTTTAGTTGCTATTATCTATCATATAGTTATTTATCTCGGTGAAATCTAGTAAATATCGACGCTGTTATTTTCACACCATACGTCCATTTGAAACATTCTAATTAATTTAAGTTAGAGATAACCCAGTGGGTAATCAATTACTATTTCGTACGAAATTAGATACAAATTTAATTTTTTAATCGTTATTATCGAATTTTTAAACACCTCTGACATCAAAAATGATATGCTGCTATGTCTAAATGATTCAAGACACGAAAAATGTTAGTTGTTTGTTCACGTGCTATTTTTTGTGAGTCAGAAAGAAACGGAATGGCATGTAAAATTTTCGTGGTTTTTTCTTGATGTGGGTTATCAATGTGTTTAATATATTTAATTGTTGTTTTGTTAATTTCTTATCATGCTTATTTTACTAATAAAAACAGGAACAAAATACAAATTGATTGATTATTCGAATTGAAACTACTTTAGTTTTTCAGTCAATTCGGTTCTCAACATGAGATAAAATGTATTTCTGCGTAGATAGAATAGAATAACGGTTTCCTTGCAAGATTCACTAAGTTTGCATGTAATCTCACGAAAGCGTAGTGTCGTATATGTCTGTAGATCGGTAGCATGGCGATGTGGAGTATAATGCATGTGTTGCTCGACTAAATCAGAACAAGTCGAGGTCTCGGAGTGTCACTTCCACGGCTGAGTGGCTTATGTTTCTGTAAATGCTTTGTTGGTAATGTTTTTTTACATTTTTCAAGTGTGAACTTGGAAAGTACCGATTGCTCCAGTTAATTATCCAAGGAAAGATTCAGGGCAAACAAAGCGTGAGGAGACGACGTATATCTTGGCTGCGCAATTTAAGAGACTGGTTCCAGTGCACATCTGACCAATTATTTAGAGCAACAGCTTCAAAGATATGAATAGCAATAATGATTGTTAAACTCCGTAGCGGAGAGGACACTTGAAAAAGAAAATAATTTGGAAATACTTCTTCGTGCTTATTAAGGATAAAATTGTTTGCCTCATGTGCTCTATTAAAGGATTTTAATCTAGCACATCACTTTATGACAAAACAACATCACTTACGAAATTATGACCAAAGAAGACCGGAAACAAAAAGTTGGAGCTCTACGTAAAAAACTGAAAGGTCAACAAAATATATTTACAAAACAAAGCTGTTCTAAAAAGTTAGCTACATATTCTAGTTACATTGCAGAATAGAATATTGAAAATACAAACAAATCATTGTCTGATGGCGAAACTTACTTTATTTGTCCTGACAAAAAAATAGGATTCTGAGACAATAAGTTTGTGTCTAGTTTCTAGCGTCAAGTATAAATGAGTTTAAATTCTGTTCTTTTTTGTTGAATGAAAGTTCGGAGATAACTGATTTAGCTCAGCTACTGATATTTGGAAGAGATATTGATGAGAAATTTTGTGTTATTGAAGGATTCGCGAAAAGCTGTTCTGTGCTGTTCTACGGAATTGAGTCATGGACGTTGAAAAAGATTGATATCAAAAAATTAGAGGCATTTGAACTGTGGATGTATCGCAGAATCCTGAGAATATCATGGACCGAGAAAGTCACAAATGTCGAGGTCTTGAGAAGAATGAATAAAGAAAAGGAAGTCATATTTACGATCAAAAAACGAAAACTGCAATACTTGGGATACATTACAAGAGGCGAAAGATATGAACTGCTAATTATGCATGGGAAAATAGCAGGAAAAAGATCCATAGGAAGAAGACGAAACTCCTGGCTAAAGAATCTACGGGAATGGTATAGCTGTAGCAACAACGAATTGTTTCGGTTAGCAGTTTCGAAAATACGTATAGCCCTGATGATCGCCAACCTTCGGAACGAAGATGGTACTTGAAGAAGAAGGATTCGCAAATAATGATAAATCTAGTGATTGCACATCAGAATAGACGATAAGAACTGGATGATGATAACCCAGAATCAAGAAACATGGAGGAGCTTGGAACAGTTCCGTCTTCAACAGTTGACAGTAACAGCTACATGATGATGAATATCAAAATTGATGCTAATGTTGTATTGTTTATAAACCTAACATTTAAATGTAAAAATTATCACTTCAAAATATCATTTTTTTTTACTTATACAGGTATTTACTGATTTCATTACAGAATTTATTTTATAACTATTTCGACGTAGCTTCACTCTGTATAATTCTACTTATTTACTCTTATTCTCTTTAATATTTAAACAATTTATAGTAGGCATAAACTTAATGTAGTTCTCGGTTAATTAATATTAATGAAGTTGATCCCCAGCAGATAAAAATTTTCATATCTTTACATAACAAGCTAAATGTACTATACGATGTTGATAAAACCATTGACACTACGATCCCGTTATTAATGTTGTTTTTTGGGAAAAATTCAATGCTCTAAATGTGAACTGAATAAAAAAATAGAATAATTTCATTGCCTGCAGGAAACATTGACGTTTACGAGGGGATGTTAAAAATTATTTCGTCTGGTATGAAAAAAAAAGTTTTTTTTCTATACTAATAAATATATTTACGCTTCATATTGCATTATTTTTTACCTGCAAAGCACTAATGCATTGATTAGTGATCAGTGTAGCAGTGTCCGGGGGCTCAGGAGGCTGAGACCTCGATATAATATGTATAATGTCGTTAAAATAGAGAAAAGGCAATTATGAGATCTTCGCTGCAAAGTTAACAAAGTGCTAGGGCACTTGAGAGAGATCTCGTCCCAAGCAGTGCTATCCTGTGTAGCGAAGAAGCCGCCTCAAATCTGCTATGCGCAATTAATAATCAAACGTTGATTTGTTTTTAGGTACTACAATATTTTTGAGTTTCACGTGCATTCTAGCTATCAGCGGGTTATGGTCTGAGTTGACATCTAATCCGGGGTATGCTTTTACTACTTTAATTGAGTTTTTGTATCTATTTTTGACTAATATATAGTCTATTTGATTTCTGACTATGCGATCTTTGTTGCCTGCAAGAGATCTCCAAGTGTATAATCTCCTGTCGGGTAGTGTGGTAGGAATATTGTGTTCTCTTTCGTTTCTGTCACCTAGTCCAAATTCCCAACATATTCGTCAACTTTTTCTCTCCCGACTTTGGCATTAAAGTCCACCATTACTATTGTAATATCTTCTTTTTTAATAAATCTTAAAATTGTGTTTAACTCCATGTAAAAATGTTCTATCTCCTCTTCATCCTTATCCGCTATTGGTACGTATACTTGAATTAAGTTAACTTTAACATTATTTGTAATTATCATGTCTTAATATATACTGGAGATTATTTTGGTTCAACCATGCGCTTCAGACTCTTTTCCCATTAATCCCGGGATATCCCATATAACATATTTGAAAATCCTTGAAAAAAGAGAAGATAATTCTGAAAACATTCTATAAAATGTACACAACATGAATTATCCGCCTAGAAATGTTAAAATCGACATTTATATATCTACCAAAGAATGTGACTGCAAAAAATAAGATATAAATGATATAAAATAAATATAAAAGATACAAAGAATATATAATAGATATAAATACATAAGAATGGAATATAAGTATGACGAAAGTTTAGAAGACCATTTCAAGCTGTTAATCTCAAGTCATTCAGCCTGGTGATCACACTACCAAGAGGCCTTGTAACAATCTTTTATAATTAGTATAAAAACTTACAAGAAAATGAATGAGTCAATCTAAAATATTTAAGAAGTGTCTAAAACATCTAATTTAAGTATAAAGTAAAAATGTGACAGACAAAACGTGTACTCAATTTTAGTGCCTCATCTTTTTTTTTTATTTTACCAATTCCTAAAATATCAACTTCGTTCTTTAATAAACACTTTCACTATCAATTAACAAAAAACAAAGCATTTATTTGTAATTTATATAAATATATTTACTTACCAACTATAACTACTTCTTTGTAAATAATATTTGATTGGTTTCCGCTCTTCATCTTGTCGAGTATCTGCAAATAATAAACCATTCATAAATAAATACACATATTTATATCAAAAGTTGGTTGTTTTTAAGATAAACCCGTCGCATAAAGGTGGCCGGAAAAGCGTATTTGTACAAGGTTAATAGGGAAATCCAATTCAAATGGGATCTGATTTCAATGCGAAAATTGTTTTCAAACAATTTTTAGTTAAAAAATTATTAGATCATTAAACCTGTAAATATTTATAAATCGGCTGTGATCGCACTGAGGCTTAAAAATATTTTTAAGTTGTTTAAAACTTTTTAAAGTGTTTCTGCTACGTTTTCGTGTCACGATATATTTAACAGGTAAGTAATATTTGTTATTTAGTCATTTTTGCTGCCTTTATTGACACGATTTTATGTAAAAACATAAACCATTACCAAGAAGTAATAGCAATTCGTGAACAGCGAATATTTTCATTTTTTCAGGTATGCTTCTCTGACAAATCAACATTCCAGATTTTGGTAGACAAATGTGCGTTCGTCCGACGACGTCCTGGGGATCAGTTCCATTCAGATTGCATTGTGAAGAGGGTTAAACATCCGGTTAATGTCATGGTACGGTCTATAATCTCGGCCAAGGGTATGGGACGCTTATACATCGTAGAAGAGACAATGAGACAGGACCAGTATAAGCGAATACTCAAAACTCGGCTACTTCCCCAGCTCAAAGAATGGTTCCCTGGTCAAAAAAATTACATTTTTATGCACGATTCTGCACCGTGTAAACACAAAGCACAAACACACCACACAGTTTGTGTGGTGCACAAACACAAAGATTCTGCACCACAAAGCTAGAAGTGTAACTGCATTTCTGTCCAAAGAAAATATTGCAGTTCTGCCCTGGCCGGGAAACTCACCTGACATGAACCCTATAGAGAGTATGTGGGAGGTAACCAAACGGGAGATCGCCAAAGATTTCCCGTTTGGTTACGGGAGATAAGAAGTTAGTGATTTTATGTAACAGTTTTTGTTGCGAAAAAAATAAAACAGAACTCATTGTTTTGGTGACTTTAATATCAACTCTTTTATACACATAGATGCAAGCCTTAAAGCCAACAACTTGCTAAGAAATTCAATTAAACTAGAAAATTAAGAAATCATATTACTGTCCCTAATAATTTGGTCACCCATTGTATGCTTTGCATGAAATTCTGAGAGGTGTTTTTGTACCATGGGTGGTAAAGTATGTGGTTTTTGTAGGATGGTGCTCAATTATAGCGACAAGGTGATGGCATTTTAATTCAGCAATATCCAACACGTTGGATAGGAAAGGGGCAATAATTTAATGGACACCGCGCGGTCCAGACCCTATTCCAATGGATTTTTGTTTTTAGGAATTTATGAGACTATGTTTATTCCGTGGAAATAACTAGTGCAAAACAATTAAGGAATTGAATTTTAGAAGCTGCCACTGCATTTCAACGGAGACATTTAGTTTTTCAAAATTTTCTGTTCTCATTGTTGAAACGATGTAGAGAATGTACAAAGGAAGGAGCAGGTCTTTTTGAACAATTTTAAATTAAATTAATATCTTTTTTGTTCCTAATTGACAGTTAATAATAAATTTAATATTTGCGAAAATGTAATATTGCATTTAAAAAAGTGGTTGTATCTTCTAAATGAATAATTTTACAAACGAATACTAATAGACAAAAACGTTGTAAAATAGATATGTTATTACATTGACGTCACGCAATATTATACTACAAAAAAGTTGGGGGATCAGTTTTGAAGATCCCTCTAAACATCTAGAATAATTAAGGAAAAAATCTTTTCGCTCCTTCAACCAAAATTAACTTATTTTCATCTCTAAAAATTATGGTATATTTTATGGACAATCTTTTTGTGACACCCTGTACATATAACAACTGCAAATAAACTATGATTTTTTTTGCTGATATCATATTGCATTTCTTGGCTGTTGCACTGAAGATGTGTGTTAATCTTTGGAGCTCGTCTTCTGTCTCAGCGATTAATGCGGCGTCGTCTGCATAACATAATATTTGGATTTCTTTTTTCCCCATTCGGTAGCCATGACCTGTACGTACTGCTTGTATTATTTCGTCCATTATCGTGACGTCTAAGAAGATCGTAATGTGAAAAATTATACTCCCGAAAAAGCTGGTATAATTCTCAGGTGATATTATAATAAACAGTTAATATTTTGATATATCATTAACATATATATGAACTTTCACTTACATCGTTTAGAAAAACTTACGCCTCATACGTTATGTCTGGTAATAGTTCACGATAACAAATTGTTTGTGAAGTCAGTGTTTATCGGAACTTTTCAAGTTCAAAGGCATATTATTAATGATTTAACCCCAGCTGGGAAATGATAAAATAATTGCACGGAACACGTTACCATAGCCTATGGAAGTTTTATGTTGAAAATAGATCGTGTAATGAAATAGAAGCAGATAATCAAAGCTTTAAAAAATCTATATGAAAATTCTACATCACAAGTAAAAATTGTCAACAGACTATCTAAAAAGTTCACCAACGTTGTTCAAGATATATGTTGCAAAAGCACTAAATCAGTGAAAACGTAAATGTCACGGTATGGGTATAGACCTCGGAGAGGTTTGTTTATATACCTTACAATTTGCTGATGACCAAGTCATCATAGCTAATGAAAAAGACGATCTAGAGTAAGTGGCAAGGAAACTAAAGGAGGAATATGAACAGTGGGGCTTGGAAATTAATGTGGAAAAAACTAAATACCTACCCATAGGAGTTGAGTTATCCAATATCGAACTGGAGATTAATGAAGAAATCACATCCTGTATATGGAATACTTTGGAGCTCCGAAATAGGAATAAAGCGAAAATACAATATATATGAAACACTAATTAAAAGCAGCCTACTTTACGGAGCAGAAACTTAGAAACTTTAGAAGATCGTTAGTTATATCCCGCAGGGAAAGAGTTCAAAATGAGGAAATAACACGACGAATTGGAGTAGAAGGTTACTTAACAACAGATATTGAGAGGAAACAGTTAATTTGGTATGGTCATGTTCAAAGAATTGAAGACACAAGATTGTCCAAAAAGATTATGCAGTGGGTACCACCAAATCGTAAAAAACGAGGAAGACCCAACAAGACGGCAACACCGACAAGAATGTAGAGCGTAGAATAATTTTTAAATAATTTTAAACTGTTTGTCCTTGTTTTAGTGTAGTGTTATGTACAATTTATGTTCAATTTCATGTTTGTTACATTCTGCGCTTGCTGGATAGCCCAAATTTGACGAAATGCCCCTGATGATGCTTTAGAAAGCGAAAGTACTTGGACAAGATTTGATGAATAACATAGTGCTCGATATTTGCCTTTAATTTTTCAAAGTTCATTTATTCGAGCATTCAAGCTTATATCAAGTAATGTCAGGTTGTACATATTTTCCTCAATAAACATTATAAAAAATATTTGGTATTTCATATTTTGCCTACTGATTAACAACATAATCATCTACTTTTAGCATTTTTTTCTAAATTCAACACTCAAAACTCAAATCTTCTTTATTGTCCCTTGCTATTTTTTACTGCGGGACCCCTCATTTATTTTTTTATACAGTTAATATTTGTCTATTAATAGTTGTTATCTATTCTTTCATTATATTGTTTTTAGAAAATATGTATCATATTTCATTCAAAACTAATAAAAAAAAGATCCTATATAACAAATCCTATGTTTATTGAAAAATAAATTAAAACAATGTTTTGTTTTGTAAAAAGAATCAATTACCTTAAATGCAGTAATAAAAATCACTCAATAAAACAGCACAAACTTGTAAATATTTCACAATAATGTGTAAAAAATAATCCGCGGCAGTCCACTAATGTTATTCGATATGTTGTCTCGCACGGTCTTGACATTCAACTAAACCGGCAAATCATTACACCGCGGCTGTTATACATTTCTAACACTCGGAGCAATCTTATCGTCCGTGCAATCTTACGTAATCAGTATGAAAATCCTAATTAATTCCACTCGCTGATAAAACTAATAGCACTGAAGTTTTTGTTGAATTTCAAGTACAAGATTGTTATCTACATTTTTTTATATATTGGAGAACAATACGTACAAGATAATAATATTAAAAAAAAGAATAGCTAAAAGAAAAAATACGCATACTAAAAATCATACGAACAAGGCGAATTTTGCCGGGAATATTAATTTTCGGACCTTAACAACGATGCAACGATGCCGTTACCCCCGATTTGTAAATGTTAAAAATGTTTTAAATAAAAAAATGTAGCAGATATAATTTTAAACAAAAATGTTTATTAGCACTTTTTGTGTAGAACAAATCATTCTCTCACAAACAACGTTGAAGCGACCGTCGATTTTTGAATGACAGTTATACCGTATCCCGAAATTTATTGTCTCATTATAAAAATTAGTTTAATTCTTATTCTAATACAACTCTATTTCTATTGTTGTATAATTATCACAGCTACCCAAGCTGCCAGGAGCCAGTATATAGCCAAGTCAACTGTAGGTACATATAATCAGATAAAATATTATCATTCAAGCTTAATGTCAAAAAACTCTTTTATAAACATACCAATTTCCCATCCCACATTATCAGTTTTACTATATAGACGGATCTAAAGTACAAAACAAAGTAGGATGTGCGTTAGTTAATATTCAAAGTGGATTTAAAAAATAATTAAAATTGCCAGCTGAATCATCGATATACACTGCTGAAATGACAGCGATTCTTCTTGCATTAAGGCATATACATAGTAACGAAGCCAACAGCTGTATAATATTTACAGACAGTAAGAGTGTCGTCGACAGACTAACAAACATACATAGGTCCAAACAACTAAATCATATAGAACTATAAATTATGACTATTTACAATAAAATTATAAATTTAGGAAAAAAGGGCAATGAAATAGCAGATAGCCTAGCCAAATCTGCCCTAGAGATAAGCGGAGAAGCTCCCTTGAACTTACACCCCTTTTCAGACATTGATATAATTAGTAAACGGCATCAACAAGAAAAATAAAAAAACATAAACACTAGCAAATACAAATCCTTAAACAGCAGGATTAGAAAAGACATAATAACAGCAAAAGAAAGATGGCTAACTGAACAGTGTCACGAAATAGAAGAATATGAAAAGAAATATGATAGTTTCAATATTCATCGGAAAGTGAAGGAAATGACGTCGGGAAAACAAAATAATATACATGTTATAAAAGACTCGAATGGTAACATTCTCACAGATACAAAACAACAACTAAACAGATGGAGAGAATACATAAAAGAACTATTCGGGGATGACAGACAACAAATCATAGATGAGGACTCTGGTGAATCGGGACCAAAAATTTTAAAACAGGAAGTTCAATACGCATTAAAACAGACAAAAAGGAAAAAGGCCACAGGTCCGGATGAAATCCCGATTGAGTTTCTTAAACTGATCGATAATGAAATGATAGACATTCTAGTAGAACTTTATGATCATATTTATCAAACAGGTATTTTACCAAAGGAGTGGTTAGTATCCACATTCATAATTATTCCCAAAAAGCAAAATGCAAAAGAATGCTCAGAACACCGTACAATTGCATTAATGAGCCATGTTTTGAAAGTATTTCTACGAATAGTCCACAACAGAATTTACAGAAAGCTGGATGATGAAATTAGTGATAGTCAGTTAGGCTTTAGAAACGGCACGGGAACCAGGGAAGCATTGTTCGGTATAAATGTGCTCATGCAAAGAAATCTGGATATGAACCAAGACATGTATACATGTTTTATTGATTTTGAAAAAGCATTTGACAAGGTACAGCACAATAAACTAATTAATATTTTAAAAATGAAAAACATCGATAGCCGCGACATCAGAGTAATCTCGAACCTCTACTGGAACCAGAAAGTCAAAATAAGAATTGAAAATCAAATGTCGGAAGAAATAGAAATTCTTCGGGGTGTGAGACAGGGCTGTGTATTGTCACCACTGCTGTTTAATATATATAGCGAAGCCATTTTCCAAGAAGCTTTAGGAGAGTGTAACGATGGAATGATAATAAATGGTGAAATTATTAATAATATAAGATATGCCGATGATACTGTCATATTCACTTCAACTCTGCAAAGTCTAACAAACATACTGGAACGGCTGAATGAAAAGTGTACCATATATGGTATTAAAATGAACTTAAAGAAAACAAAATTCATGGTCATTACAAAACATCCAAAAGACAACGAGACACTCCATATTAATAATATCCAGATAGAAAGGGTAGATAAATACAAATATCTAGGAACATTGGTTAGTCAAAACGCAGAACAAACGCAAGAGATTAAAAGCCGTATGGAAATGGCAAGGGCAAAATTTGTAAAAATGAAACATCTATTGTGTAGTAGAGACCTAAGAATGGATCTAAGGATAAGGTTATTGCGCTGCTACATTTTTACAACTTTGCTCTACGGATCTGAGGCATGGACATTGAAACAACTGGAGATTAAGAAATTGGAAGCTTTTGAGCGTTGGTGTTATCGAAGGATGCTACGAATAGCATGGGTAGACAAAATTACCAATATTGAAGTCCTTAATAGGGTTAATAAGAGGGAAGAAATTGTACAGACAATTAAGAGGCGGAAACTTGAATATTTCGGTCATATATTAAGAGGTCCTCGTTATGGGCTACTACGTTTGATTATAGAGGGCAAAATAAAAGGTAAAAGAGATGTAGGAAGAAGACGAACCTCCTGGCTACGAAATCTAAGGGAATGGTTTAGTCCTGAGCTCTAGCCAACTATTTAGAGCTGCTGTAAGTAAAATAAGAATTGCCATGTTGATATCCAACCTTCGTTAGAAGATGGAACCTTAAGAAGAAGAAAAATGGCAAACATATTATCGAAACACGAGAACTGGAAGTAATTACAAACAAATGCAGCCTGAAATACCCATAAAAAGATGGTTTCATACTCTATCAAATCGCCATTTCGTAAGGGTTATAAACAGATTAAGATCTAATCAATCTTACCCCCCTTCATATGTACAAGTTCGGTATGACGGAGTCACCTAATTGCAAGTATGGAAAAGAAGGTAACTTATTACATATTTTCCTTGAATGTTCCCACGAATCAGTAAACATAAACAAATTTTATGATAATCTTATTATATTACAAATTCCACTTCCTGTCTACCTGAACAATTTGATTTTCTCTAGAGATATCAATATATTAAAAACGATTTACGAACATATCAAAAACTGTTCTGCGCCATGATTTGAATAAACCAAACCTTTGACTGCGCCAGTTTCATTCCACTTTTTTACCAATATACTGACAGTAAACATTGTTATGTTATGAGATTTCTCTTGAAAAATATTCAGTATTTTCAGGATTTTAAAAATAGAAAAATATACAGAGTGGTCCATTTGAAATATCAAAATTTATTGTATTTTCAGAAAATCGAAAAATCTCGAAAAAAAAACAATGTAAATTCTATTACATATTACATATTACAAAACTTCTACAAACTTCTACCAAAATTTATATAAATCCTGCAAGGCGTTTTTGACATAATTTAAGAAGTTCCAAACTTACGTCACTTTATATAATTATTGACAAAGTTGGTAGATCCTGCGAATTAGAAACACAATAATAATTCAATGTTAAATCGTCCTCCTAAAAATAATAGAAATACTATTATTATACTACAATGTTAATGCATACCTATTTTGATATTATACACAAAATAGTTTTCTTAGAGTGCTACACAATCACATCAATGCATTCATAAATTAACAGACCAACACAAACATAAAACAGTTTTTATGGATCGATTGGCAACAATAATTGTGTAACAAACCATAAAAGATTTAGTGTGATGTTAAATTGTCGACAATTGATAATAAATTTCGAATGGGTCATTGTGCTGTTCTATTATTTCTAATGAACGCCACTGGCGCATTCGACCTTGATAATTATTTATAGTATTTCCTATATCCGGTAAAAATTATCTCAATATCACTCATACCGAGCGATAGAAGTGATATTGGATTCGATATGGGAAGTGGAATCCTCTAATGGCAAAATTAATGATGCATTGTTTTGATGGTTTATAGGTCTTGATCTGGAATTATTTATACTAGACCTTTCGTCTCCAAAGATCAGCAACGGTTGTAACTAACTTCCGTTATCTACCAAATGAAACTTTAGAATGAAATAAGCATCAGCCTATATGCCTGACAGTTGACAAACCCCATGAAGAAATTGAGTAATTATACAGCCAAACTAAGCAGATTCTCCTAAGTAATAAAAGATACAAACTTATCATTATAATGACAGACTTAACGTCGAAATTTGATGCTGAAACCACACAGGCATGGTGGGAAGGTATGGATTTAAAGAACTGATACACTGATACAGTTTTGCCAAGAAGAGGAATGCATCCGAATAGTTGATTATAGAAATTTAAAGGATGATTATTTAATTGGAAATCTCAAGTTGATCAACATGGCAAGACAATCAGAAATCAAATTGTCTACATTATCATTAATAGAAGATTTAGAAACAGTATTACATTCATGGACTCAATAGAAAAATAAGTATTAAATTACTAAAATAAGGATTATTAAAGAGTAAAAGAACAAATAAAGAAAAAGGATGAAAGATAAAATATTACACTTTGCTTAATACAGAGATAAGTGAAAAATAAAATGAGAGCAATTCAACCGATCATTTTCAGAACCAGCCTGCTATTGCAAGGCAGTAAGATTTAATTACACCAGGCCTAAGTTAGAGCTGTGATGTTGTAAGCAGTCCCACTGGAATTCAACGGCAGAATCCAACTGGAAGAACCTATAAAGAACATAAACTGCGAGCTACATGCATCAATATGGCAGGACCCTT